GGAATAGTTACGTCTGAGCTCCAACACTCCTACAGTGACGTCTGAACTCCACAGAACGAGGTGTTTTCTCACTCGTTTCACTAAAACCACGTTGTCTTTGGGATCTATTCAGGTTTAAACTACGACGTTCTGCAACAAAACCACAAACAAAAAGAAACCCAGTGTCCTGACCGAGTCGGATGCTCCGATGTATTTTTGTCTGGGTTCTTTCAAAGCTGTGGAGCAGACTTCATCTGAAAACTGGGACAAACATGAAACAATAACGGGTTATTGGAGAAACTGCAGCATGAATGCTTATTGTTCAGTGTTTTCTGCTGAAAGCAGCTGAAAACATTTCACCACTAAACAGTTACTGGGAGTTGAATGTGAGCAGCTGACATTTGTTGAGAGCAGGAAAATAAAAACTGAAAGAAGCAGAAAAACAACAGAAATGTGTAGAACAAGCTGGAGAGCAAAAATGATGCAGATATGAGCAGAATAAGCTAAATACAGAAAGAGGCTGAAGAGAGCACAGACATTTTGAAACTAGAAAATGAAGCTGAAAAAGCTAAAAAAAAAAAAAATTCTGAAAGTAGCAAAAAGAGGCTGAAAAAAGTTGAAATGATTAGAAAGAGTAGCTAAAGGGGAAATTAGCATATAAACAGAAAAACAGCTGTGATGAGCAGAACAACATCTGAAAAGTAGCTGAAAAAAAAGCTGAAACGAGCACAAAGAAGCTAAAAGAAGATGAACCAGAACCAAAGCTGAAACGAGCATTTTGAAAACAGCTAAAGAGTTTGACGGATGTGAAGAGATCACAGGAAAACATGGCTGAACTAGCTAAAGATTTAAAAATGTAAAAATTACACAAATGTCCAGGATGAGCCGAACATTTTGAGACGGGAGTCGTTGAAACAGAACAAAAATTACTGAACAAGTTCCAGGCAAAGAACAAACAGAAGACACACACGCACGCACGCACGCACGCACACACACACAGATGCATCCTTCAGGCACTGTGGACCTGATGGAATGTGATAAACAACAACAAGCTGCAGCCCCCGCCCCCCCCCCCTCAGAAATAGCCAGCTAAGCAGAACCGTCCGTGGCCTTCAGAGAAAACGCTGAACTGCTCCTTTAAAGCCCAGCTGCTGTAGCTGCTGTTAGCTTTTAGCTGATTGTTGGCACAAAGAGCAGCACGCACTAAAACAAACGTGGTCGCGCTCAGCTAAACACGACACTCCTTCAGCTGAGCCTTCAGCTGATTTAAACAATCAGCTGAAGGCTCAGCTGGGCCCTGCTCGGCCGGTTCTGACCCAGCAGCAGAACTGGGTGTGTTCAGGAGCTGTCGGTGGGCCCGGTGCGACAGACAGACAGGTCGAGCGACAGACAGACTGACCGGGACAGACATGCTGCTGCTGTCACTCCTCTCTGCTTCTCCTCTGGATCACAGCTCCTCCTCAGCTCTCCGGTGTCAGACCTCCATCCTCTCCGCGGAGCAGAGTCTCCGGTTGGGACGGAGCGCACCGGACTGTCCGTCCACCGCCGGTTCGGCCTGTTCAGAACCTCCGGTCCGGATCACTTCCCCACAGACTCGAATGAAATAATGGTGGCGATCAAACCCTGCGGAGGTCAGGGAGGAGGAGAGGAGCCGCTGACTGTCCGGACCGCCTCTGCAGGAGGAGCCGGTCCGTTAAAGGGACAGTCCGACCATCTGCAGGAGGAGCCGGCCCGTTAAAGGGACAGTCCGACCATCTGCAGAGGAGCCGGCCCGTTAATCAATCAACCTTTATTTCTACAGGTAAATCCCATTGAGCCTCGAGGACTCATTTACAAGAGAGACCTGATTTCAACAAAGAAAGATGACAACAATGGACAACAGCAACAACAATAAACAATTATAAAAAGTCATACTACAGTTTTTTTTTTTGTTTTGTTTTTTAAATAGGATGGCTAAAAGGAAAAAGGTAACAAAACAAAAAAAAACCAGCTAGATTCCGAGACAAATGTATAAAATTAAAAACAGGAACATGTCTGCATTGGTCCCTGCCAGGAGTCCAACAGATTCTTAAAGCCACTTAGAGAGGTCAAAGGTCGAGAGCTTCAAATCTTTTTGTAAGATATTCCAGGAAACTGGAGCGGAGTAGGAGAAGGCCCTTTTGTCTAGTTCAGTCCTCACTGAGGGAACACTGCAGGTAATGATGTCCTGAGAGCGCACGCTGTAGCTGCACTCACACAGAGACATGTAGGAGATGTATGAAGGCAGCAGACCAGGAAGTGATTTAAAGATGAAGATGTACCAGTGGGAGAGTCTGCGTGAAGTTAATGATGTCCAGTTAACCAGTGAATACTGGGTGCAGTGGTGGGTACGATAATCACAGCCAGTTATGAATCTTAGTGCACCATGATAGACAGCATCCAACATCTGCAGCATCCAACATCTGCAGCATCCAACATCTGCAGGGTTCTTGTAGGAGCGTTCATGTAAATAATGTCACCAAAATCAATTGAGGGAAGGAAAGTCACAGATACAAGGTGTTCCTCAGGGTTCAGAGTTAGACAGGATCTGTTTCTGAAAAAGAAACCCAGTTTAACTTTCAGTTTCTTTATCAAGTTTTCCACATGGAGCTTAAAAGAAAGATGTGAGTCGACCAAGATACACAAATATTTATAGGAATCAACAAACTCAATGGGGACACCATTTGAGGATAAAATCAGAGGAAGAAATGATGGGACAGACTTCCTGTTTGAAAAAAGCATCCCTTTGGTTTTTTCGACATTTAGGACAAGTTTGAGGTGGAACAAATCAGTCTGGATGTAGTTAAATGCAGATTTCAGAAGCTGGAAAGCCTTAGCAACTGTTTTAGCTCGACAATAAACAACTGTGTCATCAGCATAGAAATGTATGGATGCATTAGGGATGTTTTTACCTACATTATGTATGTAGATTGTAAAGAGGGTGGGTCCTAAGACTGAGCCTTGTGGTACACCATTGTTGACTGTTAAATAACTGGAGGAAGTACCATTATGTTGAACACATTGCCTCCGGTCTGAAAGATAGTTAGAGAACCAACCAATGGTGTGTTCTGAGAAACCAGTTTCTGAGAGTTTATGACACAAGATGTTCTGATCCACAGTGTCAGAATCTTTAGACAGGTCTAAGAAAAGTGCAGCACAATAATCCTTAGCATCCAGTGCTTCAACAACATCATTAAGAACCTTCAGTGAAGCAGTGGTTGTGCTGTGTTGTTTCCTGAAACCAGATTGATGTGGAGGTAAGATGTTAAATGAGTCCAGGTCATTTTTGATTTGAGAGTTTATCAGTTTTTCTAGAACCTTGGCTAAAATGCAGAGTTTAGAGATTGGTCCATAGTTGTTCAGTGAGGGGGGGTCTCCTCCCTTCAGCAAAGGAAGAACAAAGGCTGTTTTCAAGTGTCTGGATGGAGTTTTGTCTTATGGAGAGATTGAAGATGTGGGTCACAGGGACTGTGATGATATGAGCAGCCAGCCTTAAGAAATAAGGTGGAAGTTCATCTGGACCTGCAGATTTTTTAGGATCAAGATCTTTTAACAGTTTATTGACCTCACTGACTGAGAATGGAGAAAAAGAGAAGCTGTGATTAACTGAGGATTGACTTGTAGGAGGGATTTGATTTGTAGAAGTTTGGTTATTAAGTGAAGTGGCTGATCTTCCATTAGTAACTGTGTCAAATAAAGAACTAGAAGCAACAAAATGTTTGTTGAAACAGTTCAGGATCTCGTGATGATTTGACACAGGAACAGAGTTAATGAGAAGTTGTGATGGGAGGTCAGGGACAGTCCGACCATCTGCAGGAGGAGCCGGTCCGTTAAAGGGACAGTCCGACCATCTGCAGGAGGAGCCGGTCCGTTAAAGGGACAGTCCGACCATCTGCAGGAGGAGCCGGTCCGTTAAAGGGACAGTCCGACCATCTGCAGAGGAGCCGGCCCGTTAAAGGGACAGTCCGACCATCTGCAGGAGGAGCCGGCCCGTTAAAGGGACAGTCCGACCATCTGCAGAGGAGCCGGCCCGTTAAAGGGACAGTCCGACCCTCAGACTATGCCATAAACGACTAGAAGCTCTCATAAACTGGTTTCTCAGATCACACCAGTGGTTGGTTCACTATCCGTCAGATCAGGGACTATATATATATATATATATACACAAATACTGTATATATATGTACATACATATATATATATATATATATGTACATACATATATATATATATCTACTGTATATATATATATGTACATATATACATATATTTTTTCTTCAAAGTGAACTAAAAGAGTAAATAAGCGAGTTGTAAATTGTTTTTGTGAAATACACTTTCTTACCTGCTGTAAAAAGCTTCTAGAATGAACTGTTTGTAGAAACTTTATTTTGATCGTGATTGATGAGCTAAAGCAGACGTGTCTTCCTTCTACCTTTGACTCTTTCCTGACCTCTGAAACTTCAAGCCCATCCAGGCAGGTGGGATTCTGACATGGTTTAGCAGAAAAGTGGTCAACAACAAAATCTGTTCGAGGGACACGTTTCTGAGCAAACTGTTAGGGACAACCTTTAATGTAAGAAATACATGAATAATTACAGTTATTACTCGAGTACTTGTGAAGCCTCACAGCCGTCAGCCTGATGCTCAGAGTTTAGTATCCGAGGTCAACAAGGTATTTCAGCTTTAGGTGTTTGTACTCTGCTTTAAAAAGTACAAGTGTCAGGGTGAGAACAGCTTATTTCACTTTTTTATTTTTTAGATTTGTCCTCCAAACACGTTTGTTTGTTTTTCTGTTCAATGACAAAGAATATGAGTAGCAGTAGCTGGGGTTTTAAGAGATATAAACATAGTATTCTAACCAAAACTCTAGCACATTCATCAGGGTGGTGGAGACCATATTATATATATTATATTCACCGTACTGTAACGGAGTCTGTGTTGTGCTGCAGCTTGGATCGGAGCAACTTTCACAGTCCTGAAGCTCACCACATTTTCAGGAGCAGTTATCTCAGCTAGCTAACTCAGCTGGACGATCTTAAACTTTGCAAAGTGTAGTAAAGAGATGCTGTGAGGTCCAAATTGAAATCAGACGACTCAAGATGAAACTCAAACGCATGATGATGTAAACAGAACACACACTCTTACTGGTTCTCACAAGAACCGTAGCAGGTCACTGAAAACGCCTCCATTCTACAATCTGAACATATTTATATACGCACACTGGAACAGTCTGAAGCCAGACGCAGATCTGAGCTCTGATTACTGGAGAACATCAGCCCTGTCATTAAAACAACAGCTAGACGCAGTCCAAACATCTGTTCTTCTCTGCAGGAGTGTGTGTCCATCTGCTCTCTGTGTCATCGCTTCATGTTGCTCAGTCGCACTTCTTTTTCCAGCTCGAACTGGCGGTGGTCGACTCGTTCCAAGAAGTTCTTCCGCTCCACATACCTAAGCACACACAAAACAGAACATCAGACCTTCCACACATCAGATCCTGTCCACGCAGACGTTCAGAACTAAACTGCATTTCTCTGAAACGGGCGAAAATTAATTTCTGCAAACCTCAAAGAACTGATGCAACACTGGAAAGGGGAGTGGGCCACAGTTCTTCCACAACCATGTGAGAGACCCATAAAGTCCTACAGAAAACCACTGCTGAGAGTTCTCGCTGCTGAAGGAGCTTCTACGAGCAGCTGGATCAGAGGGTTTGCTTTCGTTTCATAAATAACGACTCTGGAATCTGTCGGGTGTTTTCATGCACTTGAATGCTCATATCCGAGTGACAGAAGCTTTTGAGTTAATGTTGGTAACATTTTATTTGCTTCAGTGCCTCTTTCCTGTGGGGTTCTGCAGGGCTCGATTCTTGGACCCCTTCTGTTTTCTCTGTATCTGCTCCCATTGGGGTCTATCCTGAGGAAACATGGTATTTTGTTTCACTGTTATGCTGATGAGCCCTGTGATGGAGTTGCGACCCGTCCAGGGTGTCCCCCGCCCCTCGCACAGTGATTGCCGGACATGGGCACCGGCGACCCCCGTGACCAAAAATGGAAGAAGCGGGTAAAAGATAATGGATGGATGAATGGTTATGCTGATGATAGTCAGATTTATCTGCCTGTAAAACCCAACAGTTCGTGCATAATTCACCCTCTGTTAAAATGTCTAGATGACATCAAGGTATGGATGGCTCCAAACTTTTTAAGTTTCAACGATCAGAAGAATGAAGTCATTGTGTTTAGCCCTAGCGCTACTGCTGTCTCTGATCCTGTAAACCTCAACTCTCTTCAGCCATATCTTAAACAGTCTGTTACAAATCTCAGGATGGTTTTAGACTCTGATTACAAACAGATTAACTCTGTTCTACCAAAAAAAAAAAACTTCTTCCAGTTAAAGCAGACAGCTATAAGCTTAAATCAGTGTCTACCACATCCGACCTTGAAAAACTAGTCCATGCCTTCATTACAACCCGGCTGGACTGTAACGCTCTTTATGTTGGGGTCAGTCAGGTCTCCCTGTCACGTCTCCAGCTCGTCCAAAATGTTGCAGCTCGGATCTTAACAGGAACTCATAGGCTTGATCATATTTCACCAGTTTTGTCCTCCCTTCACTGGCTCCCTGTACGTATCAGAATAGATTTTTAAATTCTTCTGTTGACCTTTAAGTGCATAAATGACCTTGCACCCTCATACCTCTGACCTACTTCAACCATTTGTTCCTTCTCGGGGCCGAGATCATCTGATCAGCTGCTTTTGGTTGAAGCTCAGAGGAAAACGTTTTTTTCAGTCGTGGCTCTAAACTCTGGAACAACCTGCCCATCAACATTAGACAGGACACTTCACTTCCTGTTTCTAAATCTCTGCTAAAAACACCTGTTTTCTTTGGCTTTTAACACCGTATGATCTGATTTAGTATTTTATTGTTTTGTGTTTTTATGATTCTCTTTTGATGCTTTTAATTACATTTTATAATTATGTTTTTCTTTAAATTACTTCCATTGATTATATTGTTAAGCACTTAGGCAACCGCTGCTGTTTGTAAATGTGCTTTATAAATAAATTTGACTTGACTGGAGGTTAGATTTGTAGGACTTTAGAAGCTGGTGAAGACCAGACCAGCTCCTGACATGCATAAATCCTGCCGGAGTTTTAGACCGAGACCATCTCGTGTTCAGAAGGGACAGCGTTGTAGCCATTTTGGATTTGAGTCAAACCTTGTGGCGGATGTGATGCACAACCTCAGGAAGTAATGAAATGTTGTGCACGACTCTCAGCTGCTGCCACACCAAAGTTTAGCTCAACATCTGCAAAACTGGCTGAGTTATAAGTTGACTCCAAATCAGGTGTAGATGTGCATGCAATGATTATTAAAGTTTATATTCTGATTTATGTTTGGATTAATGATCAGTGTAAGGAGAAACCACAATGAACCACGTTTCTGACGTACTGTTGGACAATAAAATTCATGTTTTAACGCAGCAAGAAAGTTCAAACAGATAAAACGCTTCAGTCTTTCCACTGGGTGGTCCCACCTGCTTGAGTTCAGGTCTTAGGACCTCCTTCGCCGAGTCAAGTTGAAGATCTGATGTCAGCAGACTGTTGGACGTTGATTGGCCAGAGAGACGTCAATCACGAGAACGTCACTTTCACCAGAATCAACCCCGCCATTTTTAAAACCACGCAACTGCAGAATTAGTTTATTTACTTTTGATATAGTATTTCCATTAAAATAGTATCACATATGGGAGACCCCTTCATTGTGCCGTTCCTCAACCTGTCGCAGCCCAGTCGGTCATTTTACTGTGAATAATGGCCAGGAACTCTTCCCTGTGAGTAAAAATGGTTATTTTTAAGGTTTTAGTAGTTACAAGTAGAAGATCATGTTCTACTTCATCACTTCTTTTACAATCAAACTGTTGGAAAACAAATGTTTGCAACAAGTTCTGAGAGTTGGAGAGTTATTGGTCTGATGAAAGAACCTGCCGCAGCCTTGCTGCTGACACAACCCTTATTGTTAATCAGCTGGCAGCTAATATCTAATTAATAAACATGAACAGCTGATAAACACTTTAGTAACAAAGTCACATTTTATGGTCATAAGTCTGTGAGTTTATTAAAAATGTGCACTGCTGTGTGCATCAGGTACCCATGAAAAATACAACATTTAAAAATATTGTTTTAGGAACAGTAGTACAGCAGTCCCTCGTTTATCGCAGGGGTTACGTTCTGATCTGACTTTGGAAAACTGCAAAAGAGCGAGTCCACAGAAGTCAAACCTCCAAGTAGCGAGGGACTACTGTAGTTATAATAATCCTCATTATGACAGAAATATGTACATTTTAAGCTACAGTGGCAATAGTAGCACTTGTTTTCAACAAAGCAGGGGGGTCATTTTACACAAAAATATCCTGTTTCAGTGAAACAATGTTTTCACAGAGTTTGTGACTAACGGTGCATGGTCAGCATCTCTTACCCCTCTTTGCCTCTGTTGTGGATGGCCAGCTCCTCTGTGATGCCTTCTTCTGATTTAAAAGCATCCCAGTCCATCTTTGACTTTTCCAGTGTGCTCATCTTCTGTTTCTTTCCACAGATACGACCCAAGAGGCTGGACATGCCTGCAGGACGCTTAGCGCTGCAACAGCAAGAGAGAAACCAGGTGACCCAAGTACATGTACGCACACACCACAGAAGCTTTACTGTTCGTTCTCCTACGTCGAATCGCCACCTTATCATGGTGAAGAGTTTATGTGCCTCAATGACCCCAGAAGCTATGCTGTTGGGTCTAATGACCCTTATAGGGTCTCCCAAAGCAGACAGGTCCTAGGTGACTGGCCAAAGAGCAAATCAGAACACAGACAGAACTTCTCCTGGGGATGAACAAAGTTCAGTCCAGTGGCCTCAGGATTTTGTCTCTACTATTTGTGGATGATGTGGTCCTGTTGGCATCAGTGTGCTGCCATCTCAAACTTTCACTGGAGCGATGTGCAGCCGAGTATGAAGCTGCTGTGATCAGGATCGGTTCCTCCAAATCTGAGGCCATGGTCCGTGGTCAGAAAAGGGTGGAAGGTCCTCAGTGAGTTGGGGGCGAGGTGCTGCATCAAGTGGAGGAGTTCAAGTATCTTGGGGATTTATTCACAAGTGAGGGAAGAACGAAGTGTGAGATCAACAGACAAATCAGTCCAACGATCTCGTTTAACGCCAGAGTTTGAAGGACAGTTGACAGGAGAGATCATCTCTCTCCAGTTCTAGCTTCTCTCCACTGGCTCCCTGTCAAATCCACAATTGAATTCAACCGACAAAGCCCTCAACAACCTAGCTCCATCTTATATTACAGATCTTATTGTTCCATTTTTTTTACTAACAGAGCACTTCTCTCTCAGACTGCAGGTTTACTTGTGGTTCCTAGAGTTTCCAAAAGTAGAATGGGAGGAAGATCTTCCAGTTCTCAGGCTCCTCTCTTGTGGAACCAACTTCCAGATTATGTCTGTGAGGCTGACACATTGTCCAGTTTGAAGACTGGGATTAAGACTTTCCTTTTTCTGCTTGGGTTTCCTGACCTATCCCTTATCCCAGGGGTGTCAAACTCCAGGCCTCAATTACTTTCTGCTTCACCCTGTGACCGATTAGAAAAGAAAAATGTCACACATGATTCAATATATTAGTCTGTAGAACATCAGCATGTGCAGCACATGTGTAATCTAACATGTATACTGGTGATATAGAGAGAGAGCAGTGGGCATGCACCAACCATCTACTTCATATATTGTATGTGACACAGCGCCCCCAGAGGTGAACCACAGCACTACACTGCCTCGCCCCACACTGTTTGAACAGGCAGTGCATCAGTTTCACAACTTTGACCATTGAAGTGTTGAAATAATTCAGAAAACAATTTTATAGAGCAGTCAAGTGGTCAAATGTATTTTGTCTTCTCAGTGTCAGTATTTTACTTGTCATGATGACGGCCTCCTCTTACTGCACGTCACTGGTGTCACCACTGTTGTCATTTGGGTATTGTTGCAGTTCAGACTTATTTTTGTGTTACTCAAACTATGATGTTGTGGTGATTAGACGGACAGGCTGGAGTTTATCTCTGTTGAGACTCAATAATCTCTTTATCCTTCTTTGTTGGATGAAAGTGTGATGAACAGGCAGAGTGGTGATGGTCAAGGTAGGTTACTAAAATAAATAAATAAATAAACACACACAAATAGTCCACTTCCATCATTCTTTAGAGGTCTATAAAATTGTTTTATCTTCCCGATTCTCATTTTAATTCGTTTGAATTTCATGATTTATGAACATAATTTTCTCTAAAACATGTAATTTTATGGTGGAATTAACAAAGTACAATATTAAATGGAAAAATATCCAAAATATTGATATATTCTTAGAAAAATACAACTAAAAGTTTCAGTTCAGCAGAACTTCTAATACTTATGAATCTTATAAATCTGCCTGTAGGTCTAAATCATTTCAGAATAAACGTCAGATTTTTTGTAAAAATACCTCGTTTCATATGAGGGGAAGAAGACCGTCCTTTCACAACATTTAAGTTCCTCCCTGATGAACTCAAAATTCAGTTTGTAATTATTACATGAATGTGGTCTCAAAGTGTTGTATAACTGGCTGATGATGATGATGACGATGGGGGAGGAAGCCCCTTCAGTCTGGTTTCTGTCGTTTTATTACAGCAGCTTCTTTTGCTCCAACGTTCAGCAGCTGCTTTCAGCTTCTTTAACACAACGTTCATAATCTTTGAGATTTGTTTGTGTTTATCAGATTATTTGAATCTGAACGTTCGACTGCTCCTCCTGTTCTGTTTTTATGAGGACGAGTGTTGAAGTGAGGACTAACGTCTCCTCTGTGTGATCTGATGGATGGAAGGAAGGATGGAAGGATGATGGATGGAAGGAAGGATGGAAGGATGATGGATGGAAGGATGATGGATGGATGATGGATGGAAGGATGATGGCTGGATGATGGATGGATGATGGATGGAAGAATGGATGATGGATGGATGATGATTGATGGATGGATGATGGATGGATGATGGATGGATGATGGATTGATGGATGGATGAAAGAATGGATGATGGATGGATGATGATGGATGGATGATGGATGGATGATGA